GGGGGGGTGAGGGAAGTTAGCGTTGGGGGGATGGAGAAAGAGTTACCCCTACACACGTCCTTCTGCACACACCATATGTAATTGCACACGAATGGCGGCACACTTTAACACAAAAAAAATTGAATTAAATTTAAGGAGAGAAAACATACATGTGTGTACATGTCACGAAAGCGACTTGTTAGTTTTTCGCACGGTGATGGATGTCCTCAGATGGACGCTGCGCTCGTTGCGCGTGTTACTTCGAAGTTTTAACCAGTTGTCTTAAGCATTTACAAAACAAAAGAGAGGAACCTGAGCAGTCTGACTGACCCCTGGTTAGCTTTTTACAAAATTGTTACTGCACCACGTTGTTCGTTTCTCCTTTTCTTGTTCCTTCTGCGCGTGGTTACACATGTATCCTCCTGGTCGATGGCTTCTTCTCCACTTGTACCCTTTTTTTTTTTTTTTTTTCCGTGCAAAGGGTTCACAAGCTTGATGAGCTGCTTCCCCTGTGTCGTTTTTCCCTCACACGTTCATCGTCTGTCGCTCTCGTCCTCCTTTTCCTCTTCTCCTTCTTTTTCACGTTTGCTTTGTCGCGGTCCCTGCTGCGGTGACGATGGCGTTCCGTTTTATCTTTTCCGGTCCGTTTGGCGTGCTTGCGGGATTTCTTCTCCTCTTCGTGGGATCGTCTCTCGTTTTTATGTGACCGCCCCTCTTCTTTGCGCGATCGTCTGTCGCGTTTTTCCCTTCTCTTTTCGTGCTTGTGTCTGCTCTTCTTCTTGCTCTTCCTGTGCTTCTCCTTTTTCCTTGTCTTGCGGGCCGAGTCCCGGCTGTCGCTCCTACCGCTACTACTGTCGCTATCACTACTGCTATCGTCGCTATCGCTACTGCTATCGCTCCCACCGCTAGTATCGCTGACTATGCCTAGGTTTCGTCGTTCCTTGAGGTCGTCCTCCGCCTCCTCCTTTATGTCACTCTGGAAGTTTATCTTTTCCAGGCTGATCAAATTTCTACACTGGTAGGGCAAGTGGCCAATGTGGTTGCAGAGGGTGCAGGCCCCGGGGATGGTAGCAGAGGCAGTGCCGATTAACCTGGCCAAACTGAACAGACTCTTTGCCTTTTCATTAATTTCTTCATTCGTCGCTTCCTTTTTTTTGAGCTCCCTTGTGTTTATCTCCTCCACAGACGCATACGGGTCATACCCAACGGAATTCTTCCATATCTCGGAGGTCTTCAGAGAGGCCGACACGGGCAGTCTGTTGTCAGGGGGCATCCTGACTCTTCCAGCTTTGCTCGGCATCTTTTACTCTTTACTTCAAAGGGCAGGAAGGGGAAAAGAGAAAAAGTGGGCTTAGCCCATGGAGGAATTTACGTGTTACCCCCCTTATTACATAGTATCTCCTGGGTGCGGCGAACTCTCGTCCCGCAATGCTAGCGGAATGGTCTCTTTTTTTTTTTTTTTTTTTTTTT